AACTTGATTTGAATGAACGGCATTTTGACATAGAACAATAAAAATGGCAAGTTTAATATATACCTAATTGCGTACTGAAAAGTCAAAACTGGCAACGGGACGCATTTTGATCCTTGCAAATGCATAAAATGGTGTGTTTGGCATGTAAGATTGCTCCCCCAAAACAATTAAATAAAAAACAATAAAAAAAACAAAAAACATTGAATTAAACAAAAAAATGAATTAAAAAAAAAAAAAAAAAAAAATGCGAGCGGCCAGAAAATGACGAGCGGGCGGTCGAGGAAAACCAAATGATTTTTTTTGGGCCTCATTACTTGTCCCGTTTTAAATTGTCTTACTTTTGTTTGCTTCTTCGTTCAAGATAAACAATCAAACATAAACAAATAAGTCATGCATTTTCTCGACAAAAAAATATAATAATGTAAACAAAACTGTGAAAACAACTGTTGCTGAGCTAGCGCCATGAACATTCCTGGATAAGGTGTGCGCTGTATAAGTTTACACTATTATTAGTATTATTATTATCAAATGCAAATTTGAACATAGGTTTCGTCAATTATTTAGTTTATCATTGGGCCTGGGAATTTAGAGCAATTATTTACTCGTAAGTTAGTGGTAGCGGTCATACTCTAGACAGTTGTTTCGGTTTGACCACGAATTAAAGTTTACCACATCCCTTTGATAAAAAACAGGCGTGATGAAGACTGAGCATTTAGAATACTGTCAGAGATACTAAGGAAAATTACAACGATTTAATTTCACATGAAAATGTAAAATAAATGGTGGTTATTGAATTTTTTTCTTCAACTTTATTCAATGCAGTTTTGTTTTCTTCGATACATCTTACTTCAATTGAAGATGAGAGTGAATTGTTTATAGCTTTAATACTTGGAGGTACATTGTTGCCAATAAAATTGAAAAAATATTTGTTTCCTTGCCTCTTTTCATGAAAACAATATGGTTTATTATTGATAGAATGATGTTAGTATCCTCTCAGAATTTGATTCATTAATATAAAGAGTCATCAATATTGAGCAATAAATTCCTTGAAAGAAATCGAATTTATTAATACAAAAATTAAATAATATACAATCATTTTAGGAATAGAGGTAGGGAAATTATCTTCCAACTTCATTCGCAAGAGTGTAGGCATATGTACTTTCTACCCTCAAAAGATAGCGATAAAACGTAAAGAATTGAAAGGTGAAACTCTTTTAGAAATAGGCATTTAGATTACATGTATATATGTATTGTAGATAGACAATAAATGTACTTCTTTGACATTTGTGTCAATGACAATACAGGTGTATAAGATAAGCCATTCTTAAGATGTACTTTTATTTTGAAGAAATATGCATATTATTCTTAGTTAAAGCCCTGTCTACATCTTCCTCTCAAGCAGAACATCTGTCACACCCCAAAATACATTAATGTTCACCTCTCTTTTCTTTAAAAAATCTCTTTAAAAAACTCTTATATAGATATATTGATATAATTGACTTCAACATGCAGTATAGGCAATTATTATTTACATCTCAAATTGTGATCACATTGCAAGTAATTTCTGATTTTCGTATTTTTTTTCCCTTCAATATTGAAAAGGCCACATTTGTTTCAACTGCAATATACCAGACAGAGCTACGTACACATCCACCATTAGTTACAAACACACACGCTCACACACCACACACACAAAACTCACACAAACAGATCGTGTGAAAACATTCTCATTTAAATTTCACCATACGATTTTTCTTCTGAGGACGCCCTCCTAATCAAGCGTCGCTTAAAAGGGCGGTTTCGCACGGATAGTTAGAATAATACTTTAATTAAAGACTATAATTAAAGAAATTTCAACTTCATTATCATATGTATATAAGTACATCACATTTTGATATGAAGTAAGTATTGTTTGAATATTTGTTTTACACCTTACGTCTTGTCCCTGTTTTTAAAAATTTAGTTCTTGTATTTGGAAGAAAAAAAATACAGAAATTAATGCAGAAATAAAACCAAATCAAAGAAATAATGCGAACAAGAGAGGGCTTTGTGTACAAGAATCGTAGAGATCTTATATCGGAAATCTAATGCCTCAGTCACACCTTTGCGTATTGGGCTTGCGTATTGCTGCGTATTGCCCGAACGCAGACATAGGCAGTCACACCCAATAAAGCGCAACGAAACGTGCTCACTGCGTACTCAATACGCAGACTAGCGCAAAGGCCTGCGTTTGCCACTCGCTAGTTTTAAAATTTTCTAAACTATCGCAAGCAAACGCAAGGTCAAATCACCTACGAGCGGATACGAGTGGCAACCAGTGAATGCGAGCAACATCGAGTGGCTTAGCGCAAGTATACGCAACCATAAGCACCTCTTTTTTTGGAGCGCGTGTCACTGCCTATAGCTGCGTTCCCTGCACGATTTACCTCGCCAGAGCTCGTTGTCGTTCGCATTATTGCGCGTATTGTTGCGCTGTTGCTCGCCTACCACTCGCATCAGCAAGAACTGTTGCAATTGCCGCTCGCTACGCAGCGAGTCTAGCTCGTACGCCGTTCGCTTTAGCTCTCTCTCTCACTGCGATTAGTTGCCTAGCACCAACCACCGTCGCTGCGCTTCATAACGTTATTAAATAAACATCATTCGCCTCTGCTTCTTCCTGCTGAACCAAAAGCTTAAGCTTTTGCAAGGCAGAGCGCTGCTGCTAGGCAATCTTTTTTCATAATTTTGATTTTTCTTGTAGATGTAGACTCGTCAGAAGCCCGCAAAATGACTTTTATTTATACGCCGTCGCAGCCCAAGCGAGCTGGTACGCTGTAGAGCGAGCTGGCACGCAGTAGAACGAACAACAGACGAGCTAAATCGAGCGAACACGCAGTGAGACGCAACGAGACGTACTGGTGCGAGCGGCTAGCGAGCAGCAAACGAGCAAAGAACCAGTTACATACGCAACGTGGCGAGCAAACTGCGTATTGAATCGTACTGCTATGAGCAACAGCGAGCTATAGCGTGGTCATAGGCAACCGTAGGCAGTCTTAGTACGAGCGGCATACGAGCTACCTACGAGCTAGATACGCAATAGTGTGACTGCTACCTTCAAATTTGCCGCGTATTGCTGGGAACGGCTGCGTATTGATATACCCCGTACAGCGCAGCCATACGCAGCATCATACGCAAAGGTGTGACTGAGGCATAGGGGCGTACACCACTGGATTGCATGGCGGAATAGAGAATATGTTGTATTAACAGGACATCTATATATAACCCTAAATGGTATCATGAAAACTGGTATATTACCCTAACCCTGACCCTAAATTCAAAACAATATCAGTAATAAAGCTTATTACTAACGAACAAACCTTTTTTTTTCCTTGGGAGGCCTATAAGTTTCCTCTGCCTGCAAACGATCGTAGAGGGCAGCAATTCTATTGTTAAATCATTAACAGGACAGGAAAATGTCCTGCTAATGACCATGTCTACTTGGTGACTCATTTTTTTCTTCAAACCAACATATGGGACCAACCAACCAACATATGGAACCAATATATGGAACCAACATACGGAACCAACTTGAAAGTTCTGTCAACATAACATGTCACCTACTTTGAAGAGTTTTAAGCACGCTCTAAAAGCCCTGTTATCTGTAGATGACGTGTAAATGTTTTTTTTTATTTTTCGGGGGGGGGGGGGGGGGGTTCGTGCGAAGCTAACCATTTCCCCTATTTGCCAGATTGTGATATTTGGTTGACATGGTTATCGTTATTTAATGTATTCATACATGTAATGTATCCATTTTATCCAAGTGTATTAGTTAAAGAGCAATTGAATGTAAATATGTATATACCAATTTTGGTATCCCGTGCGTTAAGCTATTTCACATTATAAAATGAACGTTTTCAATCAATTGTTTTTCTTCATTTGAATACGTGGTTATCATCTATTCTTTATTTTATTTTCATTACAAAAAAAAAAAGAAGGTCACTTGAAAATTCCATTCACCTATTTCTTGTAAATGATCAAGGATGATTCTTGAATGATCAGTTATTTCATGGGGATACCAATTAATTTGTATTTTACCTGCTTATATGCTTGTTTATTTATCTATTTTGTTTTTGATGCTGTTATTTGTTTTGTTCCTACCAAATAGGGCCTCATGGAAGACCACCAAATTGGTGATATGTGCCACCCTGTATAAATATCATAAATAAATAAATAAATAAATGTCCGTCTAATGACGCTGTTAGGTGTAATTTTCTTCGATGTCTCTTCCGCTCCCCCTCCTCCCCCCCCCCCCCCCTGGATCCACCGCTGCCAAATGATAAATGGATGGAAAAAATCTTTTCAACAAAGAAGAAAGGATATAAATAATATGAGTAGGCCACAACTTTAATCCATCTTCAATATCATCTTTATAAGTAAACATGCCTTCCTATACTTAATTCTCTCCTCCTTTTTTTTTCTTCTCTCTGTTCCATTTACAATTTTTTTTCTTTCCTATTAACTTTCTGTTATATAAAATGTAATTTTTATAGTAATATCTATAATGTTCTTTCGGTAACTGTGTTAATTTATGATGGGCGTTCCCAACTCAAGCTACGCTTTCCGAGTTTTCGCCTCCTTCCGTATCTGAATTATTTACTGTATACCCAATGTTGAAATAATTGTTACATATATCATGTATATATACATTGTGTTTCAAATTGTACTGTTGAGAAAGAAATAAATGTTAATAATAATAATAATAATAATAATAATAATAATAATAATAATAATAATAATAATAATAATAATAATAATAATAATAATAATAATAATGACTTGGTTATAAGGATTAAGACCACTACTCTATCACTAAGGCATAGCCCCTCCCATTTGGGACAATGCACGTGCTCAGACGTTACCATGGCAATCGTTTATCGCGAGCAGCTGATTGGTGCTGGCCAGCGTGGTTGTAATTTAGATGATGGGATCATGATAAGAAGGCCAACAACATTTATACATGTAGACTTTGTTGATGCACTCACCATTTTGCCGGTTCTACTGTTCATACGCCAAACTTCAGAGTAAATAACAACACTTTATCAAGGTAAGGCTGTTTGACTTTTCTTTGCTTGGACACATACTCCGGTTACAATTTATCTGGGTTTTATTTCGCTAAAAAGGGTGTGGGTTGCAGTTGGTGTTTCGGTTAGAGTTAGGGTTAGAGTTAGGGTTAAGTATAGTGATTTGTGCATGGTTAAGAATTCGGTTGGTGTTCGAAAATGACGCTAAGCAATGATTGCCAGAGCGTGTAGTAAAACCTAAATGGATACCCGTACATTGCGTACATACATCCAATCTTAATAGGGATAGAAGAAGAAGAAACTAAATAGAAGAAAAAAGAGAGACAATCTACATTATGTTGGTAGAAAACTAACCTCGAATATTAAATGTGTCACTAGAGTGGATATTATTTGAATTTTTTTCTCTTAACATTCTAACATTTTAATATCAATGTTTCAATATTTGTTTTGATGTTGATGTTATATTTTTTCTTCCTCTCCTTCTTTTCCAGTTTTCCTTCTTCTTCCTCGTTTTGTTTTATTTCTTCTTGTTGTAGTGCATGCACTTCTTTTATCTTCTTCTTCTTCGTTTTGTTCTGCTTTTTCTTCTTCTTCCTATGCTTTGCTGGTGTCCTTTCGATTGATGCTTCTAGTATTGTACTGATCCTCTAAAGTTAGCTAATGCATATAACACAATAATACTCTTTATGTACCCTGCAAAAGACCTCCCTTTGCAATTATGCATTTCTTAATTAAATCAAGGGATTGTAGATTATTTGATTTATTCAGGAATACAAATAAATCCACATGATGTTACGAAAATCCTAGAAATGGGAATTAAGGCAAAGCGTCTGAAAAGGCAGGTTTACTAACATATTCAAATGTATGGATGTTTTTTTCCTTGGAACCTAGTGACGAGTTTTACTATTAACCTGTTATTAATGAATAAACTACAATCCTCGAAATTCAGTCTGAGTACATCACTTGCTGCTATGCTGGGAAACCCTCGGGAAAGCTTTCAGGGATATACCTACAATTCAAATATTTTAGTAAACCGGACTATTGATGCGTAATGTTTTGTACCGATTGGCTATCGTTGCAAACGAACGACTGTGCCATTAGGCACTTGTGGCAAGGAAAGGTTAAACTGGCATTATCTTTGATCTTTCCCATATAGAATCATGAAGAGTGTCTTCATTGGAGCTTTTCTTCTCGCATGCCTCTCATTTGGAATAGGTAAGAATCACCTGTTTTACTGGTCGTGGATACTTCGACATTTATATCATAAATGGTTAACGTCGATCATTTATTTTCCACTTTTACAAAATTCCCCCCCCCCCAATAAAAAAAAGGAATGGAAGGTTCCGAAAATTTAGAAGCTCTAACAAATTTAAAATAGTAAATATCTCAGACTGCATGATTTCTTCAGGGATTCCAAAATAATAATGTTGATGATGATTTCAGTAATAACCATCGTATTAATAATAAGAATAACAACAATGATTCATAAATAATGATAATAATAAGGATAATACAGATGATAATGAAACCTGGGTGGAGAATGGCAATTGTAGATGAATGGCTTATCACAAGATATAACTGCCGTGATGGGGAATCGAACCCCGTACCTTTTGCTTCGTAGTCCGAGGACTTTCATCTATTATACCAAAAAAAGATTACGGCGGTGGCACAACCGGCCTGCCCCCCCCCCCACCCCCGCCCATTTCAGGTGGCCAAAAAAAAAAAAAAAATCGAAAAAAAGAAAAACAGAGAGAAAGAAAGAAAAAGAAGGAAAAGTAATCATTAATATTATGGCACATGACATACAAATTCTAATTAAATTCTCATTAATCATACCATTTATGAGATATGAAGCAAACCAAATCCATGCAGAAAGAAAGAGGGAAAGATAAATTCTGATAAATTCAAAAGGTGCTTTGCTATGCTACGCGGCAGAGCACCTAATTAATAAAGATAAATTCTGACGAAATCAATAGGTGCTTTGTTACGCTGCCGCAATTTTAGCGGCAGATTACCTATATTAATTGAGTCATAATATATATAAATTTTCCCCCGTAACATGAGAGTATATTAACCGATTTATTCTTTTAATTAGATTTATTGTTAATTGTTATTGTATAATTGTGTTAAAGGTATGCAAAGTTTTGGGAAATTTTGAAATTGGATGGATAGTAATTCTTTAAATTTTTGATATATTTGGATGCCCCTGTGGATGTATTATAAGAACTAAAAGAATTAGCCCCTAAAACACTTCTGCTTTCGAGCAAATTGAATAATCAAAATTTACCGGAGCTCCCGGTAAATTTCAAATATTTCAAATAGCGCCTAAGGCCATTCCATGGTAGCTGCGACCATGAAAATCTCAGAATATGCAGTTCCGATATATAATTTCCAAATGGGAATAGCAAATCGGTCGATTGTAGTCAAGAAACATTGTTTTAAAGCTAAAGTAATATCAGTCTTGAGAGGGCGCTATACAACATAAAGAGTTTATTATTTACAATTTTATCACTTTAGACTCGATTTCAACCGCGACAACGATCATTGAATATTGTTAAATCGCATATGCTTCCAATATGTTCATTTGAACCAAATTCATGACCCCCATACCAAAACTTTGTAATACCTTTAAGTGGGGGCAGGCTACAAGAGTCCTATCTTGCACCCCGGGGCAACGTGTCTGACACGGCCGGTTGTAGCAACTACTCCGAAGATCAATATACATTAATCTTGATCTAAGGAGACATAAACGAACGACCCCCCCCCCCCCCCCCTGTCTGCACAAGTGCGGAACACAACACAGATCAGCCATGCATCAGGTCATTCGTCTTCCGTGTGCATGGCTGATCGTCTTTTGTCAACTCTGTTTGTTGCAACGTCAGGCAGCAAGTAAAAACGAAACCGTTTGATCAAATTATGGAAATGCAAACATTACTTTAAACAAACAGAACGTTGTTATTCCTGGCTCATATGAAAGGGGAGAAATTGAACTTTCTAGAAATGTAATTTTCCTCTTGAAATTCAAATACCGCCCGCCAAATGACTTTTTGGTTTCCTCTATTAAAATTGCTTTTAATAGCTTATGCGTGAAATATGCATCATCTAAGTTACACCAAATGAAAAAAGAGGATCTAAGCATTATACATATGTGTCATTTATTAATTATAATTGTTATTAAGTTAAGATAAAACATCGATAGTTTTCGGCTTCATTTTTTTCTGGAACGCACTGTATAATTCAATACATTTTTTTTGTTCCAAACACTACATCGTAGCCATTCATTGAATTGGGCAACTGTTTTTGCATTGAACAGAAGTAATATTATCACACAAAACAAATTTAAATATCGTTATAACACGACTAAAATGCTACTACTATGCTAGCCACAACGTATTTTGTTGAGATCCCCAAGGGTGAACGCGCTTATGAGAAAAATCAACAATTTCTGATATATCTTGTTAACGTCAACCGGGAGAGCTGGCCGTGAAAAGTCACAATCCAGGGACTGAAGGACCAATTTGAGATTCGCAAACATTTAACGATCTCATATGTCAAACACTCAGAACCTTTTTATTATTGGTCTGATTTATTTCAAACTTACCCTTCCTTTACTCTAATTCATAATGATTTATGTCATCATGACATAATTAAGAGAAGGCCAGACAAAATAAATATGAAAAACCCATATTTTCCCAATTTAAGAGTTTAGGATGTTTTCTTTTATGACTTTGTCGTAAGGATTTGCCAATTCTGAAATGCCTAATTTAAGTTTAAACAGGGAATGTACATATTTCTTCATTTTGTGTAATCGCATGCGAACGTAATACCAAAAAATCTCCTTGCAGACAAGGTTAGACGATTCAAACAAAGTCTCTAAAAGCAACTCTTAATTGTAATCGAGACGGGCCTTTGTTTACAAAACTTGTTACAGAGTGGTTTTGAGCCTTTAGTGAGCTCTACCAGAACCTATTGTATAGCATACCAGCATATATGGGGTTTTCTGCAATCAGATATTCACCGTCTTCTAAACTTGGTAATTAATACCGCAATAGGGAATCAAGTGTGAGTCAGATTACGATAAGAAAACGGTTTCGATAAGCACCAGCGTATTTTTTATAATCAATTTCATATTTCCAAGGTAAAATGAAGTTCACTTGTATCAATATTCTGTTTCACCAATGTCTGCAACAGATTCGTGTAGACCAATAGATTAATCTATTATTGAAGCTGATAATTATTATTTTTTTATTTACAAGACCTATTCTGTTTTTTTTATTCACAACACTCATTGTTGGAATATGTTTTGGTCAGCTCTTCATTCATACCCTTATCCTGCAGATTCGAAACAGATAAGAAATATCCTGTCTCTCCTCTCTTAATTGACATCAATTGTGTTTAATGACAATCTTTTTCTTTATTAGGAGAAGTTTCTCCATATGAGTAAACGCATATTGAGTTTAAATGTTCAGTCGAATTAGATTGCTTTTGAAAACAACCAGTCTTTGTAATAGAATGAATGTATCGTTTGAATATGAAAATTAATAAGGTAAAAACCTTCGTTTAATATATTTTGCATTTTCCCAAAAAGGTTTCCTAGGGAGAAACCTAAACCATACATACAGGTTTGTTCTACAAAGCCTATAACATTTAAAGGAAAAATGCTCTTAGAGTTTGACATTTCCAATTGCCTGGCAAGCTTAAATATCTATCGATGGTAGTTTTTTGAAAAAATGTTACAATTACCGCCCAGTAAAATATTGAAGTGAAGGAATAAAAATTAAGAAAGTAACTTAACTCATAGCCTGCCATAAGGATGCATGCACGCTATTGTTATAGTGCCATGTACACCTCAGCAAGCTAATGCTCCTCTGCTTCTTGTATGTCTGCACGCATATTAAATAGCAGTTATTGTTCATGCCCATTGGACTGTGCCTAGTGTTTTGCACGTTAATCCGATTATCTCATTATAAACTTGGCACTGCGGGGATTTGGGGCCTGGCACAATGGAGATTAACCCGGTGGCAGGATAAAGGGTATGCCCTTGTCTTGGATGTTTGCAACCCCCTCCCCCGCCCTACCCTCCCAATGACCACCGCATAGGCCAACACCCACTTAAACTAATGTTTATTCTTGTTATATAATTTTCATTACAAAATAAAATTATGATATAATGTTACATTTATGTCTTTTTTCCTGGATCAGGCCAGGGTCTCGAGTGTTCGGCATGTGCATCCATGACAACAACATCCGGTGCCTCTTCGCTTGGAGAGTGTGATGAAGGGAGCTTACCGAAGATAACGTGTTACGAGAACCAGACTTCCTGTGCACGTGCTACGATCGATGGTAATAACTAATTAAAAATGATAAAAGGCCTAGTAACTAATTCAAAGATGATGCTTTAACGGTCGAACATTCAAACAGAATTAATTTGAGGCATCAAGTAATTAAGATAGCATTTGATATTCAGGAATGAGCCGCGTTATCAAAAGATATGGTTAATACAATCATGATGATAATGATGATGATTATAAAAATGATAATTTTGTATAACGATAATAGCAAATATTATACTAATAATGGTTATAATACTAATAGTAACGAAAGCAATAGTAGTGGTAATGAAAATAATAATAAAAAAAAAAAACTACTACTACTACTACATTTCAGATTTGTTAACTATTTACTACCCTCGAACTACTCTGCGATCTGCAGGTAAATACCTGCTTGAGAGTCGTAAAACACGCTCTCTTCTAGGGAATTGATCATTTACTGCCTGTGCATCGAGATTGTGGAACGATCTTCCCCAAATCGTTAGGTGTTGTCACCAGTTATCTACTTTGAGAACTCCACTAAAGATATACCTATTTCAGATTGCTTCCAATTATTCACTGCTTTTGGGTCTTTCCCAGTAAAAATCATGAACAGACATTTTTTGTAGTTTTTTTCAGTCTCATCAGCACCTTTGATTAGGCAACTAGATATTGGCGCTCTATAAATACCTGGATTGGAATAAGAATCATAATGATTAACAATAATAAAGGAAAAGTAATGATACAATGTATATAAGCAAAATCATTCACATTGTATTTTCAAAATTCATCCTATTTTTATTATCTGACCTCTTCCTTTATCAGGGTACGGCCCGTTCAGTCAAGGCCAGAATGAACATCCTGTGTATGGACCCTTCAATGGCACTGTATGGGGCTGCGTTGGAACACCCATTGACAACACGTGCATATGGGATAACGCCGCTCGATCTGAATTGCTAAGGGGTATTTCTAATCGTCCTGGTGACTACGGAAACTCTTTGCCGCTCTTCGGTAACTTCTTAGCCCTACTGCAGTCAAACAAGACAGCGCTGTATGGAAATAAGGTTTGCCCCTGCAAGGGTAGCATCTGCGGTGGGAGTGGTGGTTCTTCTGAATATGGAGGAAACGCTGGTTCGCTGAGAACAGACGTGATGATTGTCCTGGGATTCTTTCTCGTAGCTGTTTTTACTAAACAGTCTTAAACATGATGGCAACGACTTTAATTTCAAGAAATCAACCTTTGGCTAAGTCAATAAAACTGCCCATTACCTCTTGAAATGTACGAACATTACAAAAGTATGTTATTCGACGCGTATTACTACTTCGAATGCATCTAATACAATTAGTGATAACAAATGATAATGATAAATACAATAGTTACATGAAGGATAATAATACGATAAATAATAATAATAATAATAATAATAAGAAGAATTAAAATATTAATATAACTACTACTACTACTACTACTAATACTACTAATGCTAATAGTAATTATATTAATAATCATGATATCGTTATTAAAAATAATAAATATATTAATTATACAAGTTATCATGATGATAATAATTAAACCAATAATATTAACAATAATGATACTATAATATCGTTATAAGTGATAATAAATTTATTAATAATAATAATAATAATAATACTCAGTTTTTATATAGCGCTTATTAAAATCACTAAGCGCTTCCAACCTTGGAGATTGTTACCCCGGCTTTAGCTGTGCTGCCATTGCGGCGCTCTAGCATTTCAAAGAATTATTTCCTGCCGGGTAATATAAGTCATGATAATAATAATAATAAAACCAATGATAATAATCATGATAATAATAGCGTTTTAAGTGATAATAAATATACTAATAATATTAATTATCATAATGATAATAATAGAACCAATAATAATAACTACAATAACATCGTTAACCATTATCCCGGCAGTAGCCGAGCTACCCCGATAATTCACTCAGCCATTTGAGGAATTTCTTTCGTACCTGGTACCCATAGTATAGCCTGGCCGGTAAAAAGTGGCAAACGCGGATTTACGAACTTCTAATTATTTGATGCACATGTAATGCATGAGCATCATTTCTATAGGCTCAATTTAAATTACGATGGTTATAATGATATAGCCGGCGAGTTGATTTCTTGAAAGTCTTTTCATTCGTTTCATCATTTATCAATTAGGTAATACTTGGCTAGAATTACATCACTATACATAATCATTTTGTTCATAATCAAACAATACTTCTGTCTTCCAGAGAAAATTTAAGATCGGGTTCCAAAGAATTTTAGAGTAATCACATTCATAAAATAGATAACATTAATTTTCTGTCCGTTTGCACTTTAAATAATAATCATGATCAGATTTCTTGTTAAGATATATATATTCTATACATGCTAATATGTTATCGAGTAATTTCAAATTCAAATGTTTTAATCGTTGTTCCTTGAATATTCCCCATAAATTAGCTTTGAATTTATAAAGGTTCTTAAATATTATCTGCGATTTTTTTATTGTTTTTTAACTGATATATCATGAAATACTTTGGTTGTCAATCCAAAGTAATGAACACATTTTTTTTTCACATTTTGATTTTCTTTTCTTGTCATGGCTCATAGACTTCCAATGTAATTTAGTAACCTTATTTGAATAATTATGTCCAATACAAAGTATTTATTTTGCCCGATTTATATCCTCATCCTCTTTTGCGTCAATGATGTCCCCAATAAATATTATTTTTCTTTTTCGTTTGGTCTTTTATGTATGTGTTTCCACGCAGAGCTGCATTCTAATATTAGTGAACTCATAACAGGATTTATTTACATGTAGACATTTTTTCATGCCGAAATACATTGTTGCTGAAATAAAGGAATATTTCTAGGAACTTTTGCTTTTTAGCCTTTGAAGGAACTGATCTTAAAGAATACAAATTATGATTGGGTCAACTGATGAAGGAAGTTTGAAAATAACATATTTTGGTTTGCAAAGTTTTGCTTTTAAAAGTAATTGGCTTTATAAGTTAATGGAAAATAAAGATCATAATTTTAAATGAAAGATAGTCCGACAATTACATTTGAACTATCTTAATCCCAACTTCAATGAGTTTCTTAAAAAACAACGTTTTTCCTGAATATGCTCTTAAGGTTTGCAACTTTTAACGTTGAACATATGATCTTGTCGCACACTGTTTCTGGCTGTCGACCTTGTAAAAAAAAGAATTCATAGAATTAAACGCATCTTCCAAAAGGAACTAATTTTTTAAGCATATTTATGACGAAGTCATATTGTAATAATAATCAGAATCAAGATGGTCATCATATTTCAATAGACTGAGATATGAAATGTGTATGGTAAATGTTAAATAGAAGGCACTCACTTCGCTCCGTGCACAGGTTAGCATATTCAAAACACATTATTGTTAAAGAAAAATCAAAAATTGAGAGAAAACTGGTCTGTAAAAGGGCAAAAACAAAACGACAAAGGAGAAGCAGATAGGCAAAAGTTTGAAGAAAATCCGTTTAACGAGATGAAAGTTATGAATTTCTGAATGTTGTAATCATTATACGAATTAAAGGGAATTTAGAATTTGCCGAATCAGTGTGAGGTAGTTATCTCAAAACCAAAACAATATTAATAATGCTAGCCATTCTAAGACACTTCTGATTCCTTATTCCAAAAAAAATGTTTCAATTTATTTGAGGTTTCAATAGACATGATTTCCTAATATTTTGATTTTTCCAGATCGAACGGTTTTACAGGCATTTCCGCTCCTTCTATTATTTATTCCAACAGAAAGTCTTCGCTATCTATCTTGGGGTGGTAGAATTATTTGTTTTTATTAAATTTCTAAATTATTTAAGTATTTTCCCTGTCACTTAAATGAAGAAAAGGGGCACAATATCGGATCACCCGTTTTTTTAAAGCCATTAAACAAATTATGTCCACTGTCCATCACTCTGCAAAAAAAAAACATGCAAAGTACTTTGAAAAAAGTTATATTATTATTGGAGGATAGTTTTTAAAGAAAGAAAACGAATCGCATCTGGGTGTTCGGCAAAGTCATAATATACTAAATAATTAGTTTTCTTTGGAAGTGAAATCACAATTCACCAACGATTTGCCACTTTGTTTCCACTTTATTCTTCTGAATATCCTCCGAAAGAAATTCTTTCTGATATTTTTTAATTTGTATTAAAAGTATGGTGATTTAGGTCTATATTATGATACTTGGGGAACAAAGGCTACATTAATAAATACAAGTGAAGGAAAACGACATGCTGCAACTGAAGTGATTCTTGCTCTTCTTCTTTTCTTTTCTTCTTCTTCTTCTTCTTTTTGGTTTGATTGGTTCGATTTTTTGTTTTACCTGACTGTTAAGAAAACATTTGTATGCTTGTAAGTAAGCAACCAGGGGACTGACGGATTTACCTTTATGTCAATACAATACAATAGTCATTTCTATAGCGCTCTTACAAACTAACTGTTGTTTCACAGCGCTTTACATAAAAGTTATCAAAGAATCTATTGTTGATCATGGAAAGCATCGTCGCCAGCTTTGGTGTATGTTCGAGGAACGTGTAGCAGGGTGCTGTCAGTACACGGGTGAAGGCCAGGACGAGCAGATTGGTAGGGTACGATGAGAGAATTGAGATACACTGGAGCTTTGTTTTGGATGCATTTGTAGAAGGACTTGGTAATGAGGATAAATGCCTTACCAAAGGGCAATAGCGCATCAAATTGGTTTCGCACCCCCTCCAAAATGTTAAAACGATGATGTAGAAGGTGAAATCTAAGCCATGATGTTCATGTACTACTTATTTAGTAGTGAGGAGGCGGCACCAAATGAATTCGCCAGTGCCTTTTGGCAAGGAATTCATCATATTCATTGGAGAGGATTTACGACGGTTGGTACCCCGGTTGCTTACAAGTATACATATGATTTCTTAGTAGTTAAGCAAAATAAACCATCACATCAAACCAAGCCAAACCATTCACGGTCTTTTATTCATGTTGATGTATTAACTTGTCTTGGTCATGGGCAAGATTATGACAAGCGGTTGGAAGGGGTGGAAGCGGGGAGGGGGGGGGGGGGGGGGGAGTGAACTTCCCATGCACACATTTTCTGAAACTGTACAGAGTATAGAAGACGTAGTTATCAATTACACTAAACACTGATTATCCTTTGAACTTTCTGTATTACTTAATGTGTCACCTTGGAGCTATCGTCCAGTTAATAAATTACGATACCGGCCAAAACTTGGTAGAAAAATTATCCACAAAAAAACTAAACAATAATTTCGGCTCAAAATGTATTTTTAACGCAATATACAACACAATGACAATAATATCAACTTGAAGGTACTTTAATTAATCATTAAATGACACATAACCAATGGTGCTGTGAGGTTTTGCTTAAAAGTTATCTTGAAACTCTTTTTAAATACACTAAACACGTTCTCAATATAATAATACGGATGCAGTTAATACAATTATGGGTAAAAAAAATGCCATTTGTGTTTAAATCAAGTCAATAACTTGGGGTTGCTATAACTTTTCACTGGAAAGAGGTATAAGTCTTTCGTTCTGCACAACACTGTACACGGCGAATTCTGGGAAGGTTTACTAATAAAACAGACCTCCGATTTTGATCTTTGGAAATGTTTGTTGATACAATGAATTTTTCAAAATTAAATCACATAAATGTCACGTCAAAATTGTGATGCTGATTAATCTCAATTCCATTGAACCTCGTACCATAATGTAGCCTATTTTTTTTTTGTTAATATGACATCAAACCCATGGTGATTCAGGGTTTCTTATTAAAAAAACTTTTTATTTTTCCTATGCGCCTCGGAATAGAATTGTCTAGATAGACGGCGCTACAGAAATGCCTATTTTTATCATTATTATTATTATTATTATTATCAAGAAGACCCGCATTTTTAGGGGTGACCGCTACAAATTAACAAAGAAAAAATTCTGAAATATTGTAAAACAATTTGAATAAACAAGATATGGTTAGTTTGTAAAGTAGTGGCAAACAACTCAAAAGCTAAGCAAGATATTTGGCTTTGGGCATCCAAAGCATCTGAGGTTACAGGGATGAGAGCAGCAATGAAACCACGTATTGCGGGATTTGGTTTTAGGATGGAGAGCGAGTATCGCCAAAAGCTTTTATTTCTAGAAGGAAATGGCAAAGTGGAATGAATAATTTTAAAGACTCTTGGAAAAACAGGTTGACATAAAATATTCTTTATTAAAGGTAATACAAAGTTTAGGGAAATTTTGAAAATTGGCTGGATAGTGATTCTTTACAATGTTGCCCCTTTGGATGTATTACTAGAACTAGAAAAATTATCCCGTAAAACACTTCTGTTTTGGAGAAAAATAGAAT